CAGATAACACACACCAATTAGTTAAACTGCAGGAATGTCTTAAAGACATAAAGACCTGGATGGCCGCTAACTTTCTGCTTCTTAATTCAGATAAAACTGAGGTCATTTTACTTGGCCCTGAAAATCTTAAAAATGTGATATCTAACCAGATTCTTACTCTAGATGGCATTACCTTGGCCACTGTGAGGAACCTTGGGGTCGTTTTTGACGAAGACATGTCCTTCAATACACACATTAAACAAATATGTAAGACTGCTTTCTTCCATTTGCACAACATCTCGAGAATTAGAAATATCCTGTCTCAGGGTGATGCTGAAAAACTAGTTCATGCATTTATTACTTCTAGGCTGGACTACTGCAATTCATTATTATCAGGATGTCCTAAAAACTCCCTGAAAAGCCTTCAGCTAATCCAAAATGCTGCAGCAAGAGTACTGACAGGGACTAGAAAGAGAGAGCAGATTTCTCCTGTTTTGGCTTCCCTTCATTGGCTTCCTGTTAAATCCAGAATTGAATTCAAAATCCTTCTCCTCACATACAAGGTCTTAAATAATCATCTTATCGTAAGGACCTTGTAGTACCATATTACCCTATTAGAGCACTTTGCTCTCACACTGCAGGCTTACTTGTTGTTCCTAAAGTATTTAAAAGTATTTAAAGTATTTAAAAGTAGAATGGGAGGGAGAGCCTTCAGTTTTCAGGCCCCTCTTCTGTGGAACCAGCTTGCAGTTTGGATTCGGGAGACAGACACTATCTCTACTTTTAAGATTAGGCTTAAAACTTTCCTTTTTGCTAAAGCATATAGTTAGGGCTGGATCAGGTGACCCTGATTCCTCCCATAGTTATGCTGCAATAGACGTAGGCTGCTGGGGGATTCCCATGATGCACTGAGTTTTCCTTTCCAGTCACCTTTCTCACTCACTATGTGTTAATAGACCTCTCGGCATTGAATCATATTTGTTATTAACCTCTGTCTCTCTTCCACAGCATGTATTTCATCATGTCTTCCTTCTCTCACCCCAACCGGTGGCAGCAGATGACCCCGCCCCTCCCTGAGCCTGGTTCTGCTGGAGGTTTCCTCCTGTTAAAAGGGAGTTTTTCCTTTCCACTGTCGCCAGAGTGCTTGCTCATAGGGGGTCATATGATTGTTGGGTTTTTCCTCTGTATCTACTGTACAATATAAAGTGCCTTGAGGCGACTGCTGTTGTGATTTGGCGCTATATAAATAAAATTGAATTGAATTGAATATGTAAAGAGCAGAGTTTTTTTGCACACACTGAAAATCCTCAAAAAGGAAACAAAGATACCAAAAAGAGAAAAATTAAAAATAATCATAAGAACTGACCTCAGAGTTTCTAACTTTTGTAACGAATGCTCTAGTCCATCTGACAACAGTTGTACTCCTGAGTCCCCTGGATTATTGTAGCTCAAGTCCAGTTCTTTCAAGTGGGTAAGGTTAGAGTTAAGAGCTGAGACAAGATACCTACAGCCATCCTCTGTAATCTGACAGCCTGACAGTCTGCCAAACAAGAAAACAACACAAGTCCAATTTATTTTCATTTTCTATTTTCAGTATCCCGAGCTGAAAAATTTGTAAAGGATGGTGCTTAGTTAGGGATGAAAGAGGGAGGACACATGACACTCATTGTGATTCCATAACCTGTTTTTTCACAGGTTAAAGATTGTTAAATGTCTGATCTGACCACATCAGTTATTTATATTATTTATCCATACCTTAGAGTTTCCAGTTTCCAGTGTGGGCTCCCCAGTTCAACAGAAAATGCTTTCACCCCAGAATTCTGCAGTGTGTTGTTACTCAGGTCTAGCTCAAGCAGACTAGAGACTGGGTTACTGAGAACTGAAGTCAGAGCTTCACAGCTTGTCTTTGAGAGGTTACAGTCAGTCAGTCTAAAAACAGAATGTGAAAAAACAAACAAACAGATTTTTAAATACTGAAACAAAAGAAATGCTGCTTTCCTGTTTTCAATAAATGTGTACCTGTTTGTGTACTTACATGGCTTTTTTGGAGGCTTTGATCACTGGCAGCAGCCTCAGAAGAGCCTCCTCCGAAGCAGAGTATTTCTTCAGGACAAACTCATCCAGATCATTTTCTGATGACAGTAAGATGAAGACCAGAGCTGACCACTGGGCAGTAGACAGTTTATCCACAGAGAGGGTTCTTGAACTCAGGGACTGTTGGATCTCCTCCACTAGAGAACGGTCATTCAGTTCATTGAGACAGTGGAACAGATTGATGCTTTTTTCTGCAGACAGATTCTCACTTATCTTCATCTTAATGTACTGGACTGTTTTTTGATTGATTTCTGAACTGCTTTCTGTCTGTGTCTGCAGGCCTTTTAGAAGATCCTGATTTGACTGCAATGAAAGACCCAGGAGGAAGCGGAGGAACAAGTCCAGGTGTCCATTTGGACTCTGCAAAGCATTGTCCACAGCACGTTGGTAGAAGTCTGTTTTTACAATCTTATTTTTAGGCGTTTCAGATGTCTGAGATGCTGTTTGTTCCTCTGGTAGCACGCTGACTCCAGAGTTGATGAAGACCAGATGGACATGAAGAGCAGCCAGAAACTCCTGAACGCTCAGATGGATGAAGCAGAACACTGGGTTCTGATATAGCCCCTTTTCCTCTTTAAAGATCTGTGTGAACACTCCTGAGCACACTGAGGCTGCTTTGATATCGATGCCACACTCCGTCAGGTCTGATTCATAAAAGATCAGGTTTCCTTTCTCTAGCTGGTCAAAAGCCAGTTTTCCCAGAGATTCAATCATCTTCTTGCTTTCTGGACCCCAGTGACAATCTGTCTCAGCACCACCATCATACTTGATCTTCCTTACTTTGGACTGAACCACCAGGAAATAGATGTACATCTCAGTCAGAGTCTTAGGTAATATTCCTCCCTCTCTGGTTTTCAACATATTCTCCAGAACAGTAGCAGTGATCCAGCAGAAGACTGGGATATGGCACATGATGTGGAGGCTTCGTGATGATTTGATGTGGGAGATGATCCTGCTGGCCTGTTCCTCATCTCTGAATCTCTTCCTGAAGTACTCCTCCTTCTGTTCATCGGTGAACCCTCTGACTTCTGTCACCATCTGAACAAACTTAGGAGGAATCTGACTGGCTGCTGCAGGCCGTGTGGTTATCCAGACATGAGCGGAGGGAAGCAGATTCCCCCTGATGAGGTTTGTAAGAAGCACACCCACTAAGGCGGACTGTGTAATATCAGTTAGAGTTTTACTGTGGTGGAAGTCCAGAGGAAGTCGACATTCATCCAGACCATCCAAGATGAACACAACTTGGAAGTGTTCAAACCAGTAAATTCCTGCTTTTTTGGTTTCAGTAAAGAAGTGATGAACAAGTCCCACCAAGCTGAACTTTTTCTCTTTCAACACATTCAGCTCTCTGAATGTAAATGGAAATGTAAACTGGATGTCCTGGTTAGCTTGTTCTTCAGCCCAGTCTAGTGTAAACTTTTGAATTAAGACTGTTTTCCCAATGCCGGCCACTCCTTTTGTCAGCACTGTTCTGATTGGTTCATCTCTTCCAGGTGACTTTTTAAAGATGTCTTCTCGTCTGATTGTTGTTTCTGATCTGTCTGGCTTCCTGGATGCTGTTGCGAGCTGTCTGACCTCATGTTCATTATTGACTTCTGCAGTCCCTCCCTCTGTGATGTAGAGCTCTGTGTAGATCTGATTCAGAAGGGTTGGGTTTCCTGCTTTAGCGATCCCCTCAAACACACACTGGGACTTCTTCTTCAGATTACTTTTAAGTTTACGTTGACATTGTGGAGCAAAAAGTTCTAAATGGACAGAAATTGCATCAGTGAGCAAAAATCTACCAAATAAAAGCACAAACAAAGTTTACAGTAGTAACAGTACTGTATATGCCTTGTGAACAGTAGGTGCTGTTATTTTCCCATCTTGGGATAATAATGGCAGAAGAATTCAGAAGGTAGCAGAAATATAATGAAGTACAACAGAATATGCTGTTATGGTTCTTCTCTTGTTATCAATAAAAGAGTAAATGAACCAGTAATTTAAGAATTAAAGTAAAAAAAACGAATTTGAAAAAAAAAAACCCCAAAAAAACAGTGCAGTATAATTTCTTGTTCGTTTAGTGTTATTGGATACACTTAGAAGAGATTCTCATTTAATCTAAAATGTTCAGTTCCTATTTTGGGAATGAGAGTGTAACCTAGGTTATTTTCACATTTTTCCATAGCAACTGTGATTCAAGTCCAATGTGGTGGATGACTCTTGAGCAACCTCTGCATGGTGTCATGTGACAAAACTCCTTAAAAAAAGATACTGAACATTTTATTGATCCTTGCAGGCAGCGCAATTTATAAGTGCAAGTAAATAAAGGACATTTCATATCCTTCTTTTTTAATGTGTTACTGTAACCAATTATAGACCACCTAATTTGAAGTCTAAATCTACTGAAACAAGGTACCAGCAGCAGCAGCGCAATAGTAGTGACACGTAAGCATAAATGTAGCTCAGGTAGTGTTTTCACTGGAAATTTCAGTATAAAACAACTGCTAAATACTTTATTTTAGCAACACCTAAAGTAATGAAAACTGGTAACTCTTTAGGAACTGCACAATAATATCACATTATGAAACATATTTTACATAACAAGAAAGAGAAACTGTCAAAAAGTTAACAGAAGGAGAGGGAGAGAGAGCCTGAGACCGAGGACGGCCATTGCAGGGACAACCGCGACCCCTACTCAGAGAAGAGCAGAGGAGAGCCCCGCAGCCTCCACCAGAGCAGTCTGAGCTCCAGGCACACAGACCCGAGACCCAAGTGCCATCCACCCCGCAGCAGGGGCCCAACAGTGCCAGGGGGCCCATGTCCCGCCAAGCAGTTTAATTTTATTTATACAGTGCCAAACACAACAGTAGTCACCTCAAGGCGCTTTATATTTCATACCAGGGGTGGGCAAATCCAGGCCTCGAGGGCTAGTGTCCTGCAGGTTTTAGATATCACCCTGGTTCAACCCACCTGAATTAAAGGATTAGTTCATTACTAGGCCTCTGGAGAACTACAAGACATGTTGAAGAGGTAATTTAGCCATTTGATTCAGCTGTGTTGGATCAAGGACACATCTAAAACCTGCAGGACACCGGCCCTCGAGGCCTGGAGTTGCCCACCCCTGTTTTATACTGTAAGGTAAAGACCCTACAATAATACAGAGAAAACTCCAACAATCAAACGGCCCCCTTGAGCAACAACTTGGTGACTGTAGGAAGGAAAAACTCACTTTTAACAGGAAGTAAACTAAAAACTAAAACCAGGTTCAGAGAGGGGCAGCCATAGTTAGTGAAAAAACTAAGACCACTCAGTGCATAGGAGGTCTCTGAATGGTCTGGATATGGACCACCAGTGACGCTGACCCCAGCCAAATCCAAAACCAGTGAAAAAAAAACATCAGAAAGGATGAGGAGAGAAAAATGTCAGTTTCTCCACCTTTTGGGTGTTGCCTCATTGTTCCCCTTCTAGTACACCTGTTGTTATTTCTTGAACATCAAAGCAGTTGAAACAATCCCCAGAAGTTGAATTAACCTGTTCCTTTGTTATTTTTTGGGCAGCGTTGTTTCTTTGGTACTATATTGCTATTAGATGCTGACAGACAGCGCTTGTTTGCAGACATGCCTGGGTTTGTCTCATGCACTAGGGAACTTAAATTGCATTGCTGTAGAAATTATATCATGATGCGACCCTTATATCACATACTAATTTATATTTACCATAGACAATATGATATTGCACAGCCCTATTTAACAACTTCTACACTCACAAAAATCAGTTATTAGGTTTTTTTGGGGGGGGGTTAGGACCAGAACTGCTAATGTGATGAGTGCTAATGTGCTAAGTGAGGAATTTTCTAAATAAAGGGCAGAATGGGTATATGGTTCAGGAACTGAATTTTTAAATAATTGCACCCAAACAGATCAAATGTGCAATTCCTGTCAACTGCTCATCCATGAAAACACTGATAAATGACTGCAATGATCTGTCACATTTACTGATCAGGCTCATTTTACTTACTGTTCTGCAGATAGTCAGCCATGCCGTTCTGTTCCATTTTCCTCAGGAAATGCAGGGCGAGCTTCACCAATGCCTCTCTGTTCTTGTGTTCTTCACCCTCGCCCCCCAGCAGCATCTCTTCCTCCATCTGACTCTCTGAGTTATCTGGAAACAACATCTTCTGGATCTTCTTCAGCTCATTTTTCACAAAAGTGATAATGTTGTCCTCCAGCCGCTTGAACAGGATATAACAATTAATGAAACCAGATTTAAATTATCACAATGACCATCAGACACAAGTGCAGCATGGAGATGACTGAGAATAAAACACATGTAAAAGAAGTTGTTGTACACACCATAAAGACTGAGTCCGGATGTGATTGATGCTGCTGGGCAGGCTGATCACTTGGAGCCTCTGTACTTTCCTTGTCAAATCTGGAAGAATTGTGAAAAATTAGCTCCCATCATATCTGTTCACACAAAAACAACCACAAGGCAAAGGTCCATCTAGTAACATTTGGTCTCAAACAGTGAACGTGAGTGACTGTGAGCAGTGAGTGATGCTGAAGCTTTTAAGAATTAACAGGTTTCTGTAGCTTTCAGCATCCTCAGCTGGGTCTAGTCCTAACAGCTTGCACTAACTCCCCCTCCTTCACTGTAAACTTCTGAAGTTCTCTGAAGCAAGTCATCTACAACCTCCTACTGCTCCTCTTTAGGTTCTCCGACTGGTTATACTGGAAACTTCAACGTTTCACTAAGATCAGAGCTAGTATTCAGTTTTCACTATCATCCTGAAGTACTTACGCCTCGTTAACAGAGTCGAGTTCATCGCTGGAGTTATGAAGAACAGATTCATCGCACGTTGTGGGTGCTGATGAATCAGGTTCAGAAGATGCTGGTATCTGTTGTAACCTGAATAACAGCAGATAAGGTTAAATGAAGAAGAAAAGATGCCCCTTGGCTGCAGTGAGTGACAGATGTTATTGTAAACAGCTGATGTCTGGCTTGGTGGACAGATGTGCTACCACTACATCTCTATGTTCAGGTTTCTTTTAGTCACAACATTCTCAACCACATGCTTCGTCTCCTTGCAGCTCTGTAGAGACAAAAACAATGAATAATTAGTAAGATGTAATGCAACGACTTACTGTTTCACAAATAATCTTTGTAATAAATTCACGATCGCATCCATGATCCAGTTCTTTATGAAGGATAACCAGCTGCATATGGGCAAGAAAACACATAATTACAATGAATAGCATGAAGTTAATTAACTCCTGGTTAAAATGTTTTATTTGCTAAAGTCCAGTTAAATATTTCTGGTAGCTTTCCATCCTTACCCTTCATTAGCAGGCAGGTTCTGACTGTTCTCTGTATCTCGGCTGAAATCAATATATCGCTCATTTGAGCTGCTGCTCATCATGGACACACAGACGGGTTCAGGTTTAGGAGGTTTTTTTCTCCGATGTTTACTGATAAAATATCGGTAAATGTATCAAAGGTCACACATTCAGCTTAACTGTAAAACATTTTAATAGAGAATAAATTGTTAAGTTTTAATGCTGACAACAACTCACTTTGTGTCTTGTGATCCTTGTTTGAAGTCAATATGTCGCTCATTGGACTGGTCGCTCATCATTGACACACAGCTGGGTCTGGGGAACAATAGGAAATGTATCAAAGGTCACAAATTCAGTTTAACTGTCACAGATTAAAATAATATAATAAATAAATACAGTGGTTTGAAAAGTATTTGCCTCCTTTTCTTTGTAAAATTTACATGTTTCTGGCACACACTTGACTGCAGTCTACGCTGCCAAGGGTGGCACAACCAGTTATTAGGTTTAGGAGAAAGTACTTTTTCCACAAAGGGCAGGTAGATTTGATAGATTTTTGGCCTAAATAAATTTAAATGAAAAACTGCATTTTGTATCTTCTCAGTTTGTTTTTGTCTAATATTAAGATTTGTGTGGCAAATATGCAAAAAAAAAAGGAGCAAACAATTTTTAACATATATGTTACATGTCTCCAGACTGAGACAGAGTCCAGCCCGTCTCCAGGATGAGTTCCTGCCCCAAGTGGAGGAGTTCAAGTATCTCGGGGTCTTGTTCGCGAGTGATGGGAGAAGGGAGC